ATTTGCCAAGTTGGGTGAAGATGTGGGGGTGGCAAGCTCAGGGGTGGCAGCCCTGGATGTTACTGCTATCCCTTACAGCTGGGAGGGCAGACCACCTGGGAGGGGTGGTGAGGGTAATGCAGGAAGGCCTAGACAGCTGGTGGTAGTAGGGGATTCTATAATCAGAAGGACTGATAGAATAATTTGTCACCAGGATCGCCTTAACTGAATGGTTTACTGTCTCTCTGGTGCCAGGGTTCGGCATGTGGTGGACCGGGTTGATAAATTACTGGGAGGGGTTGGGCATGACCCAGCTGTCTTGGTTCATGTTAGAACCAATGACAGAATACATGGAAGGTGGAGGCTCCTTAAGAATCAATTTAAAGAACTAGGCTGCAAGTTGAAGGGAAAGACCTCCAAGGTGATATTCTCTGAAATATTACCTGTGCCATGCGCAACTCAGGAAAGACAACGGGAGACTAGAGAACTCAATGCATGGCTGAAGACCTGGTGTAAGAGGGAAGGATTTGGGTTTCTATAGCACTGGGCTGACTTTTCATTGGGGTGCAACCTATATGCTAGAGATGGTATGCACCTAAATGGAATGGGGTCTACTGTGCTAGGGGAGAGGCTGGAGGAGTATTTTAAACTAGGATCGAGGGTGGAGGGAGAATTAGATTATAACGCGGTAGACAGATCAGACAGGGGTCAGTACTTATTGGTGGGTGGAATGGGGAAAGATGGGGGGAAGGCTATGGTAGATGATAAGAAGGTTCCCATGTTGCAAACAACCAGTGAAATTGGTACCATGTGTATGAAAATAACAAATATGGAAAACATGTGTGAACAAGGTGTCAATTAATTAAATTGTTTGTTCACCAATGCCAGAAGTCTGCCAAACAAAATAGGTGAGTTGGAAGCTTTGGTGCATGAAGAGAACTATGATTTAATTGGTACTGCTGCATCTTGGCTTCATTCTTCACATGACTGGGCCATTGATATTCCTGGCTATGTTCTCTTGCGGAGAGACAGGGTAAATAGGAAAGGTGGTGGGGTCTGTCTCTATGTGAGAAATGATCTCAGAGTGAGTGTGAAAGAGGACCTAGTTGATGGAGAGTGTAATGAGGCTGAAGTATTATGGGTGGAACTGCACATGGGGATGCATACTACGAAGGTAATTTTTGGAGTTTGTTATAGGCCTCCCAGTGTTAATGATGAGGTGGAAACTCAGCTCCTTGCACAGATAGAAAGGCTGCAAGGGCTGGGACAGTGATAATAATGGGGGATTTTAACTACCTGGAAATTGACTGGAGTAATGGTAATGCAGGAACAGTTAAAGGGCAAAAATGTTTAAACCTACTACAGGACAATTTTATGGTACAGCTCATAGAAGCCCCTACTAGGAATGATGCTCTTCTAGACCTGGTAATCTCAAACCACGCAGAGCTTATTACAAATGTCCATATAACAGAACATCTGGGTAGCAATGACCATAACATGATTTAATTTATTATTAGCTGTAAACAGTGAGCACATATGGGAAAAATAAAAATGCTCAATTTCAAGAAAGCTAATTTTCCAAGGCTGAGAGCTGCTCTTCAAGACTTAGAATGGGAGGGAATATTGGCATTGATGAACACAACACAGAAATGGGAGTTCTTCAAAAAGACTGTATGTGAACACACTGCAAATATATTCCCATGGGCAACAAGTTTGAAAGGCTAAAAATCAAACCTATGTGGCTTACGACCAAAGTTAAAAAAAATATAGATAAGAAAAGAGCTTTTATTAAATATAAAAATGAAGGAACAGTATCATCGTTTAAATATTACAAAGAATATACCAGAATATGCAAAAAGGAAATAAAGGCCACAAAAATTAAAAATGAACAACAGATTGCAAAAGATAGCAGGACCAACCCCAAAAAATTCTTCAAATATATTAATAGTAAAATGGTCAGGTCCGAGCATGAAGGCCCTTTACAAAATAGGGACAAAGAGAAGGCAAATTTATTTAATACCTTCTTCAGCTCTGTGTATACAAAGGAGCATGGGGAAGCTCTTGTCCATAATAAGCATGGTATTGACACAGCTCCAGATGATCCACATTGGCTCACAATTGATATGATCCAAAAATATTTAGACAGTATAAAGGTGAATAAAGCACCTGGACTGGATGGCATACATCCACGGGTCCTTAAAGAATTGAGCTCTGTCATTTCAAAGCCATTGTTTCTAATTTTTATGGACTCTTTAATGACTGGCATTGTACCACTGAATTGACGTAAGGCCAATGTGGTGCCAATATTTAAAAAGGGGTCAAAATCTTTACCAAGTAATTATAGACCTGTTAGTTTAGCTTTTATAGTTGGGAAGATACTAGAGAGTTTAACCAGTTGCCGCCCGGCCTATAGCCAGATGGTGGCCGGACAAACAGCTCGTCCGTCTGGGTGGACACTATATGGCGTCCTTCCAGGCATGCGCATTGCACCTGCCTGCAGGGCAGCGCAGCGGCACGATCTGTCACCAGCCGTGTACCTCAGACACGGCCGATGACAGATCTGTTTACCGGCCTCATTGCCAGTACCATGTAACTTGCTGTGACCAATCACAGCAGGTCACATGACAGTTGTATACAATGGATGGCTTCCTTTCATGCCATCCATTGTATACAAGTGTGTCTAGCTGTGAATGGTCACAGCGATCACATGCACAGGCTGGGCCAATCACAGCCCAGCTGTGTCATGTGATTAACTGTGGCCAAATCACAGCTAAGCACAAAAAAACCCCTGAATGAATCGATTTCATTCAGGTAAATGCTTGCTTATTGCTTTCGAGAGAGATGCAGGCAGTCACCAAATTTTGGTCTGTTGGACCCGTTCAGAAAAAGACAGACAAAGACAGTGTGATAGGATGATGGTCAGATAGAAACATCGGCTCTATCGTAGCGTGAGTTAGTAAGGGGAGGTCCCGTTGGGAAAGAAAAAAATAATCTATTCTAGAGTATTTATTATGAGGAGCCGAGTAAAAGGCGTTATAAAATGGTGTTATAAAATGCTTTATAAGGGATAGCTGCATGACCTGAAGAAAAATCAACTAAGGGGTTCAATTGAAATCTCCTCTGACAACTAGCATCCTGGCCTGGAAGATAAAGAGGTCTCCAACAGAATGAAAGAGACTTGTTCATTGGGACAATAAACATTCACTAAAGTGATCGGGTGATTTGCATAAGTGCCTTTTTAGAAAAATATAGCGACCATCTGGATCAATAAGGGTATCAGAAAGCTGAAAAGGGGCATTTTTGGAGATCAAAATCGATATGCCGTTAGTTTTAGCTTGAGAATTGGTAGCATGGTATACCTGAGGGTATTGCTTACTAAATAGTCTAGAAATAGAATCTGTCCTAAAATGGGTTTCTTGTAAAAATAAGAAATGAGCCATTCACGAAGAGGACGTGGGGCCAGTGAAGTTGGATCCAGGAATCTGCGATGGGTGTGCGATCTCTGTGCTTTAGGGGAAGGGTTGCTAGAGACTGGCTTCCATGGTTCCGAGGGGAGGTAAAAAGGGTATCACTCTGGGAGATCCATTGGAGTGATGTCAAGATCAGTACAAAAAGCAAGGAGATCCTCGGGGGTGCAGAGAAGGGCAGTGTGTCCCCTGAGAGTTGCAGACAAGCAAAATGGAAATTTCCACCTATAAAGGATTCCTCGCATCCTGAGAACATCCAACAGAGGTCGCAAAGCTCTACAATTTTGCAGTGTGAGCTGCGATAAGTCCTAAAAGAGCTTAATCAATTAAGTCATTATATATATAATGTGGTTACTTTCTCTGGCTTTACACATGATTTCCTCTTTGAGTGGAAAGTTGACTAGGCAGCATATAATATCCCGCGAAGGCTCTGAATACCGAGGTCGGGGTCTTAAGGCTCTGTGAGCCATTTCCAATTCTATAGGGGTATCTGGGGTTCTACCCATTAAATCATTGAAGATTGAGCATAAAGCAAGTTGTACGGCTTCTGCTTCCACAGCCTCAGGTATCCCCCGCGCTCTAATGTTATGGCATCTGCCCCTATTGTCCAAATCTTCAATGTTTCTATGCATGTCCAAAAGATGCAGGAGTTGGGCGTCATAGGCACGCTGAAGTTGTTTAATAGCATCTGTGTGTAAATGAGAGGCCTGTTCCATTTCATCCAGCCTAGTTGCTAAAGCTTGTATGTCCGCCCTGAGATCACTAACAGCCATGGTGACTGTATTCTTGACGTCTGAGGCCACTTTCTGGAGGTCAATGAGGTTCACACACTTATTGGAGAAAGTGTGCATTGTCGTGTCACCCGCGGGAGGCGGGGAGTCTGAGCAACTGCTCGGGATGCCGGAGGTCCCAGTCTGAGAGGCCGCATGGCTGTCCGAGGCCTGTGTCCAGAACAGCTCCGGGATATGCTGAGAAAGTTGCGTACCTGGATCGTTCAGTGCCCGGGGGTCTGGTCACTCTGTCCGATCTTTCCCATAGTCGGTCAGTGCGGTGTTCTCTCAAAAAGATGGGTATTAGTCCCCTGTTGTGCCAAAGCTCCTGAGCTAGGTGGCCATCTTGGACAGCGGTCAAGTCCTGCCCTCGGCAACTTTGTTTTTAGAAAACAACCTTTACTGTAAGAAGCCCCCTTCCCTAATACCATTACAACTGGTACCACCCAGGCCTGATGTCACACAACTTCAGTAAGTGTCAACTTACTGGTAGCTTATGGCAGTGGATAGAATGAAATACAGGTGATTTTCAATAGTTGACATTGTTTTCTTGAAAATATATGATCAATTTGCAAAATTTACAGTAAGTTAAATACTATCCCAAAAGGTATGCATATTAGAAAAATGTGCATGTGTAACGGAGGTTTTATGGCAACAGCTAAATTAAGAACAAAGTACATGACTATCACTGATAATTTTTTTGTAATATCCCACAGGCTACCACAAATTATAAAGCTTCATGTTATTTTATAAAAGTAATACAATGAGTATGCAGAACATTTACCACAAGTAGGAATTTCACAGTAATCCCAACTGACTGGGCCAGGACTTGCTATAAAGCACCATGGACCATTTATATCTCCATCAGGGTTCCTGCAGTACTGTGATAAGAAAACACAAAGGTGCATTTTAGAAATAAACCTTTAGTAAACTGTAACTGTACCTACAATGTTGTACTTTATCCACTTCAATATCGGACGCTTTTACCCCCTTACTGCCCAGCTACATTTTCAGCTTTCAGTGCTATAACACTTTGAATGACAATTATTCAGTTGCACAACACTGTACCCAATTGAATTTTTTATCATGTTGTTCACACAAATAGAACTTTCTTTTGGTGGTGTTTGAGCACCACTGGGTTTTTTTTATTTCCTGATAAACAAAAAAAGAGCAAAAAGTTTGAAAAAAAGGTGTTTTTCCTAGTTTTGCAAATAAATAATCTCTCTTCATAAATTTAAGCCAAAGTGTATACTGCTACAATTACTGCACAAACTATGGTGTATATATATATATACAGAATATATATGGATATATATATTCCTATATATATATATACTGTTTATATATACATCAATCCTGATGTACTGCTCTCATTTCTTAGGGCCCGAACATACCAGGACAGTACAAATACACCCCATATGACCCATTTTTGGAAAGTAGACAGTCCAAAGTATTTAGTCAGAGGCATGGCAGGTTCTTTGAAGTTGCAATTTTTCTGTGACAATTTTTTGGAAAATTAATAAATTAAAAAAAAGAGGGGGGTTTCACATTTTTTACATACTGTCATCAGTGCAGTACATCATATAACTGGTGTGGCAGTGATGAGGGACACTGACTGATGACAGTCTTTAAAAAAAATAATAATACAAATTTTTCAATTTTTTTTTCTTTTTTATTACATTTTTTTTTCTTTTTTTCTTTTTATATAGACAGTACTGTGACCAGAGCAATACAATGTTACCACAGTAACTGTTTTTTTTTCTTTTACACACTATGATTGTTTATAACAGTGATAATCTTTGTATAAGTACCCATTTTTTTCTGAATTCCATTATTTAGTGTATACTATTGTGATTAGCTGTGATTGGCCATTGCACAGATGGGTTGTGATTGGCCCTGTCTCTACCATGTGATCACTGTGACCAATCACAGAGATCAACACAATAGTACACAATGAATGGTATGAATGGAAGTCATCATTCTGATCATCATGTGATTTGCTGGTGTTGGTCATAGCGATCACATGCTACCCTCAGCAACCTGGTACAGTGATCTGTCTTCTGTGGTGTCTAGTGGACACAACGGGTTACATATTGTGCAGCAGTGTGGCCCAATCCCGGGAAGACATCATATGATGTCCACCAAGAAAGGGAGAGCTCTCGCCCAGCCATCTTATTACAATAGCCCCGGCAGGAAGCAATTATAGCATATGACGTATTGATATGCAATACCCTTTTCAATATAATCACATTTATAAAGCTAGTGACCTATAAATAATTCAGTAAAATTCTAATTAAAGGCCAATTTCTATCTGCTTCAGTGGCAAAAGCAGCATGCTATTGACATCAGTTTGAGCTGCTTCTGAGATAATTCAGAACATTTGTACTGTAGTTGACCTGCATCAAGTTGCATTTGCATTCCCATAGACTTGTATTGGAAGAGTTGCAGTTCTGCAGCAAACACAAGCCAGTTGGCACAGGCCCTAAATCAAATCTTTCTGCTGAAATCATTATAGAAAAGAAAAAAGGCATTCACTGTAGTAGAGTATCTAAGCTGCAGAAAGATAAGGGATGTAATATTTATACCAATGATATTATCAAAAATGTTAAATACATATATATTACATTATCATTATCTGATGGTGTTTATTCTTAAACAACCTTACATTTTTATCTAATCCAGCATCTGGGTGAGTTGTTGGCGTGAAACTGTTGTGTGGATGAGGTGTCTGGGAGCTCCATTCTTGACAAGTATAACCTTTAACAGTGGCCGATCTTGTACCACGATAATCTTGACCTTTACCAATAATACAATCTGAGAGATATATATAAAATAAAGCTAATTAGCATTGTATTGTGCTACTGGATTTAGCCTTGTGTGTTGCTTACAAATTAGGAATTTTAATTTGTTAGGTGCCCTAGGTATTTTAAACCAAAAGAAAATGTAATTCATACATTGCTATATTTTCTATTTGAATCTTAATTTGAAATAAAAAGAGTAGATTCTTACTAAAGAATTGAGAAGTTACTAAAGTGCACCGGAAATTTAGAGAGTCAGCATACAAAGTTTTCTCTGAACATACCTTTGGTAGTCCTTTATAGCACCACAGGAGCTCTAAGGGACCTGCACTAACATTCTGCGGACACCATCCAGATTTCAATAGAATTTCATTTTCAAGACACTCTTAAATGTACCAATGAATAAACTGCCAATAACTGTATAGTCCACTGCTTTGGAAATACAGTATCAATTTTAATATATGAAGGCCTATTTAAAAAGATCAAAACACAGCAGCCAATTTCACCTTATTTGTCATTAAAATGTATTAAAATTTGAAATTACAGTTATGTGTGCAAATCCATTGAATTACACAGGGTGCCTTTCTCCAGATTCTCTCCATTTAAAATAACAGATTGTTTGCTTTAAAAAAAGTCCCTATAACACAGTTATCTGCAACATACATTTCAAGTTTTTTTTTACCTCCGGTAAAATATGATGACATTAAACGGATAGTTCTCTGAAGTATGCTTACAGACTGTAAGAAATACAGTCTACAGTAGCTTCTAGGAGCAGAAAAAATGCTAATAACAGCTTCTAGGAGCTAGAACAAAAAAAACGCTAGTGTGCATGGAGCTTTAAGGCCTATTCACACCAATGCATTGAGGTAATGGTAAAATGCTTGCATTACTGCAACACGTGGTATCACACAGTGTAACGATGTGCATTGATGTGTGTTGCAGCATGCATCAAAAACTACAATAGTGATTTTTCCTACATGTGGTCCAAATCAAAATGAGTGTACTACTGTAAGTGTAAAATAAAGCAGTATCAAAGCATGTTGTTGGTCATGCATTACCTCAACACAACTGTGAACTGAAAAATATATATTTCAATACACAGATAATGCTTGTTTTAGAGAATGGGTGTTGTTTAAAGTGACAAAACTGGGCTGTTTGTCTTCTTGCCTGGACTGCTGGATACTAGAGTAGGCTTTGTTGTCTGTACAGGCTTCTGTTCTATAGGTGGTACATCGGTGCATTTCTTCAGGTTACAATACTCCCATCGTAGACTAGGATCTGTAGTATAACACCATGGGCTTTTGTCATCATCTGGATTTCTGCAGTAATTCTTTTCCAGTCCCCTGCAATATAAATGTAATGTGTGTGATTCCATTTGTTTTCTCCAAGGAAATTACTGCATGTGATGATCACAATGGGCAACACAAAAATTGAACCTACCAAAAAATTGTCATGCATTAATCTCTTATCTATAAAATATGCTTTCAGGACAAATATTAGCGGTTAACCGGCCCATAAACTATGTGAATTTCACCCACTACATTTTTAACCAGTTGAAATTCGCTACATAGATGGCTCTGCCCCACCATCCCACCTGACTTCCTGCAATTGAAAAATCAAAGAAGGACAGAAAACTGTTTGCTGAATAGTAGCTGCATTCACTCAGATGTGAATGCCAGCTGTCAAACTACAATAGCCACAGTGGGAGATTCATCCATATGTGCTATATAGCGTGGAAGAAATGAATCTGTTAGATTTACCTTTTTAGTTCAGTCCACTGGCTGAATTAAAAAATCTAATTGCATATGGGCAGCTTTAGGCAGATCGTTTGTCTTAAAAGTGGGAACAGACAAATCGTAATTAGGTCTATTTGGCAGGAACTGGCTGAATTTTGATATATGTGCGGCCCTCCCTGTTTGACAGAAGTCAATTGTTAGGTTGATTTCTGTTGAACAGCCATACTGGTAAACATTCATCAATCAGCAGCTCTTAGTTCTATCACCACTGAGCACACTTTCACACATTCTGCTGCTTCCATCGTTTTGGTTTGTTCTCTGTAATAATGGCAGCATCACTTACGCATTTGGAAATTTAAAAGGTGTCTTGGTATGTGAATGTGGCACTTGGGAGTTCCAGTCCTGACATCTTTTACCAGAAATTGTCATGTAAGTTGTGCCTCGGTATTCGCCTCCTTTTCCTTCATAACATTCTGAAACTCCTGTAGGTGTGGTAGGCTCAGGTATAACTGTAAAGAAAAATGTAAAAATTAATGTAATATAAATTACTATGCACAGTAGAAAACATTCATATGGTAAATACTTGGATTCTAAATTGCAACATACTTACCTACTCTTTGTTTCCCACAGCTTACTATCCCTTGATATGATAAGTTGACCAATGGTGAGGTGCAGAAATCAGAAAGAGGCAGAATAGGGCTTGAATTTCAAAGTAGTGGAACTTGCCTCGCTATACCCAAAGTTAGTAGCAAGTGCCTATAGGTACCTGCTTTGTACTCCCACCACCAGTTTAGTAGCTTTAACCTAAGCACAGGTTTACTTTAAAAAGCTAACATCTTCCACAGTGGTAAACTGTTATGTACAATTATGATAGGAGAACCTTTCATAGCTGGTAAGATTGAATAAAGACACAAGTCCATCCAGTTCAACTTGACACTACCATATTCCATATCCCTGTTCAAAGAAACACATCTAAAAGTTTTTTTAACTTATCTACAATCTCCACTGACACCACTACATATGGAAAGAAGGTCCACATCCTTACAGCTCTAAGAGTAAAGAATTCTTTATTCAATTAAAATTAAACTGCTTAGGTTAAATAGTTTCCTCCCAATGCTAGAGTCACCATTTATAAACTCTGGACCCTGGATATACAGCGGCTTAGGTCAGTGCAGCTGTTGTCACACAAGCCTGTACATATCAGCGGCACAGCATCCTACAGCCTACAGAACAGCAATGTTTGTCTAATGGAACTGTTATACAAGTCAGTTTGTGCACCATCCATGTATATAGTGGAAGCAGCCAGCATTACCACTTGCCATTCTGTTTTCTGCTTATAATGCCTTCTAAAACAAGCCTAAGAGTCTAAAAACAGATTGTGTTTCACAAACAACCTCCAGACACACAGCTAAGCAATTAATACATTTCTCAAAGACTCTCAGTTACCACTTCCATTGTCAGCACTATGTCTCAGCAAAACATTGCACTTTCTGTAGAAGCTGAAACGCAGAAACAACAAAAGTCTTACCAGATCAGGTAGTAAGCAGACAAGGTAATAGCTTGGTTAAACCAACTTGGTAGGCTGAACAGAATTACGAGTCTTATAAAGAAGAACTGGCTAATGTTAAAGCGGTAGTAAACTCTACTTAAAAAAAAGAAAAAAAACAAGTTTTCCTCTGCAAGACAAAGGCATAATGTGCATCGCATAGACTGTACTTTAACCGCTTAGGGGACCACCCACAGAAAATTTACTGCTGTAGGGCGGCCGCTTTGCGCAGTATCATGTATATACACATGATTCTGCATTTGCAGGTAGGGAAAGCGCGCGATCGCCCTATCCACACCGTTGATCGCAGCCCTGGGTGTCAATCACTGGCCAGTGATTACCTGCAGGCGTTCGGTGATTACCAGCGATAACTGACATGGAGAAGGGCTGTCAGTTTGGACACACTGCTCAGGATGGCTGAGCACAGCCATCACGATCAGTGTGCTTTACAGTGAAGCACACACTACCACCCCCTAGTAAAACACTCCCATTACACAGTTAACCCTTTGATCGCCCCCAAATGTTAACCCCTTCCTGCCCAGTGATAATAGTACAGTGTCAGTGCTTTTTTTTTTTACCACTGATCACTGTATTGGTGTCACTGGGGATGTCAGTGACACCAAGTCAGTTCTCCCCCAGTGTCAGAATGTCCGCCGCAGTCCCGCTATGAGTCGCTGATCGGCGCCTCATAAGTCGCTGATCACCGCCATAAGTCACTTATCAACTCCATTATTATTATAAAAAAAAATTTACAGTATCTATACCGCCATTTGTAAACGCTATAACTTTCATGTAAACCAATTAATTTACATGTATTGGGATTTTTTTTTTAGCAAACACATGTCACAGAATACATCTTGGCCTAAAGTTATGACGAAATTTTATTTTTTATTTTTTTTACTGCACAGGTTTAATAGCAAAAAGTCCAAAATATTGTTTTTTTCTGAAAATTGTCTGTTTTTTTATAACGCAAAAAATAAAAAATGCACAGGCGATCAAATGCCACCGAAAGAAAGCTCAATTTGTAGAAAAAAAGATGTAAATTTCATTTGGGTGCAGGGTTGCATGACCGTGCAACTGTCAGCTAAATTAACGCAGCGCCTTAATGCAGACCGCTTCTTTAACTGCTTACTGACCGCCCTATATCAGAAAAACTGCTACAGGGTGGCCCGGGGGCGCAAAATCACGTGTGTATATATATGTCATACGCGCACCTGTGGTTTTCACGCACCTCCCAGATAGCATCAGCTTGCCCGTTAGTACACCACTAATCATAGTTAACCCCTTGATTGCCAAGAACACGCTCATACACAATAAATCTCTATTGCTAGTATAGTGTCTGAATGGATCAATATCTTTGATCAGATCAGCACTATATAAGCGTTCACATTAGTATAGCATCCCCAAAAACACAGTGTTAGCGGGATCAGCCCCGGCACCTGCCAGCACCTGTGTTTAGCCCCTGCGCTTACCCCCCCTTCTCCCCCAGCAAGTGCAGTGTCAGTAGGTCACTGTCACTTGATACATTGCACACAAAACCGCAGAATCAGGCCTGATCTCTGTTAGCACTTGCCGGTAAATTTTGATGACTCTCATATGCAGCAGAGTGCCAGTACTAGTGCCGTTCTACCTTTTGGTGAACTGGCGAGCACCAGTGACCTAGTACATCCTGGTCTTTCACATACTGCAGTATCACTTTGTGATGTGGCGAGTCCCATAAATGCAGTACAAGATGGTGCGATAGTGAGCACAAGTAGTGTCACCTTAACCAAAAATTTGCAGATGATCTATACTTCCCCAGCAGCAAAAAAATCTGCGTTGATGAGTCCCTCAATAATTTTTTTCTGGTCACCTTGCAGTCAAACAATTTCTCCACAGCAAGCGTGCCAGATTTGATGGGGTCCACAAAATTCGACAAGATATATAAGACTGCGTTGTGAGTCCCTCAATAATTTTTCTGGTCACCTTGCAGTCAAACAATTTCTCCACAGCAACGTGCCAGATATGGGGTCAAGATATATAAGACAGAGGGCAACAGGCTATACATATAAGTTTCGAATTTACAAGGGAAAAGATAGTCACGTGGAGCCCCCCGGCTGCCCACACTATATGGGGAGTAGTGGCAAGATAGTGTGGGACTTGGTGTCATCTTTTTTCCATATGGGGTGCCACTTATACGTGGACAATTTTTATTCAAGCGTGCCACTATTTAGACATTTGTACAATCTTGGAATTGGTGCATGTGACACCGTGCGACCTAATGTGTGCCCACCATTAGAAGTGGGTGGATGCAAGGTGGTATATTCTAATGGTGGGCATACCACAGACTTTTTCTGGCAGAGAGTTATTCTCTTTTTTTTCATTCAGCCCACAGGCTGCATACAAAAAAAAAAGAACATAGCATATATACCCAACAAGAACCAGTGACGTACTGGTACATCACTGGAATTTGAATGCTTCTACCAGGATGATGCCTACAGCTGCAGGCATTATTCTAGTATCGTTTTTTTCAGCTGACGATCGGCTTTCATGTAAAAGCAATCCTAGTGGCTAATTAGCTGCAGGATTGCTTTTACAAGCAGCACGAGCCAATGCCCTCCTCCCCCACTGCCTTCCATAGCCTTCTCGGGCAGTCGCGTGCCATCGGGGAACCTGAGAATGCAATAGGAAGAAGGGTCAGCAGCACACCAGAGGATAGATGAATATAGTGTGTATTTATTGATCCATAGGACACATAGGACACACAAAACACCAGGACATACATGCAGGACTTGTTAACACTTTTCACACAATCTCGTGCTTAATCATAACAGAGAAAACAACAAAAGTGCTTTCTTATATAGGTAATAGTTAATAAAGAACACCTGTCCTAATCAGCACTCCTGAATCGTGAGGGTACGCCTACTAATACATTGTAACAAGACATATAAAACCATTGTATCAAACATGTAGCAGAATACATTTTGGCCTAAATTTATGACTAACTTTGATTTTACTATATATTTTTTATAGCCGAAAGTAAAAAATGTAGTTTTTTCCTAAAAATTTTTCGGTCTTTTTT